ACAGCATAATGTAAATTGATTTTGTGGTTAAAATGAATCCACTTACAAATTGTTTAATGGTCATAACACAGACCCTTTGTGGTATATGAATTAATGATGATAATTTTATGGGGGAATGATTTTTCAATTAAAATGTCTTTTTGCAGAGAAAATGTGAATTTTACAAATGCTTCCCCCAAACAGTTTGCCAAAGTATTGTCATAAAGTACTGTCAACGACTGCTACAAAAATATTGCCATGACAGACTCCAGCATTACAAATCTGATTTATGTCTTCAAAGTACATTATCCCGGCCCTAATGTTTGTCAAACTGCGTTTTTTTCCCTTCAGTTTACAGTCTTACTAATGAAACTTTAAGACTTAAAAGAGATCATCTAAAAGGACAACTGTCATAAAATTATCACTTGTCGTTTAAAAAAAAAAAGAAAAGATATTTTACACTTTATGAAACATGAAGATTTTTTTTTTAATGTGTATTGATTTTTTGAGAAAATTACACTTTTTCTTAAAAAACATTTTCTGTCCGAGCAGCCATGTTGGGTCAGTCTCTGCTGTTTCCTGGCCAACTGTTACTCAGTCTAGCTTGCCTGTTGCTGCCATTGCGCTCTGTGACGCTGCAGCGGTAAGCAAGTTAGGTTGAGCATTAGTTGATCAGGTAACTGTAGAGATAGATGGACGTGACCAGTGTATAGTCGCCATATGGGCATTTGGAACCTTGGGCAAACCCCCCACATACCTTTCCCAATAAAACACAGACACTAGAGTATATGGGTAAAATTGTCCACAGCTTTTATTAAATAGTAATAACTTAACATAGACAAATTAGGTCATTGCCCTATACCCCACCTTCACATCCGTATCCTTCTGTTAGATATAAAGGCAATGACGCCACTATAAATAACGTATATATATATATATATATATATATAACATTATACCAACATAAACATCACTTAAAGTGCCAACAATTTATTATAAATTAATCATGGTAGGGGTATACCCCGATACCACTACCCCACCAGGTTCTGAGCCACCGACAGGACTCGAAACCTACCAACTTACCAAGAACCACATTTAACCATTTCCATAATCTTCCTAATGGGGAGCCTATTTCCTCTCCTTCAGCTCCCTATCCCGCCGCTGTGACAAAATGGGACAATCCAAACTGAAACCAAAACCCAGGGAGGGAAGGTGGGACAAACTCAGCCAGGTAGGCAAGTTAAACGTGACTTTTCCAAGATGTCTACCTATTTATATAGCCCAACCCCTTACCCACAAGCCACCAATCCCAACTAGCTTCCGGCCCGCCTCCTAACCCCTGTCAAGGCACCTTTCCACTAAGCTGTGCTTTTGCTACATGGGGATACAGATAGGCAAATGGATGGACAGACAGAGGAATGGGCAGTCTGACAGATATCCTAAGCATGCGGGCGTACGGATAGATGCATGGATGGATAGCTATCCCCTGAGTCAAACACTTATATCACCGACAGACGCTTCATGAATTTAAGGAATATTATTATAAAAGTCTTTGACTTGCTCAACTCCGGGAAACAAAATAATGATTATGTTTTAAGCGTTTACATTGAAATGCAATTCCTATCTGTTTGAAACATTGCATTAAATGAATTCACATAATGATTTATTTAACATTGCTGGTTTATATATAAGCAGGCCATACATGATAACGTATTCTGATTATGGTTCCTACAATTGATGGCCAGTTTTACTAGCACACATTTATTAATACAGGAAACAAATAAAAAAAACATGCTTTAATTCCATGTCACAAGATCTCTTAATGACAAATTTAATCCATATAACTCGTAATAAACTATCATGTATATATATATTCCCTGGAATCACTGAACAAAATGACTCATATGTTTCAATGTACGTGGACTACAACCAGTGCTAGAGGGTTAGTAATAAATTTACATAGCAAAGATGTATAGCTATTAGATCTGTGGCCCTTGGACATGCACTGGATTATAATGCTTGTAATATTCCAGTGAATAATTCCCAAGATTCCAATCGCATTTATGCATGTTTACATACCCTGTACAAAAAGTGTGTGTGTGTATATATATATATATTCAATAAAGGTGCACTCCTGGAATTGAGGGGAAAAAAAATGGTTTATTGTGCAAAGAAAATGTTGATCGACGTTTGAACCTCTAAAGATCTTTCTCAAGACCAGAAGCCAAAACCCTTCTTATCTTGAGAAGGACCTTTAGAGGTTGAAACGTCGATCAACATTTTCTTTGCACAGTAAACCAGTTGTATTTTTTTCAAGTCTAGGAGTGCACCTTTATTGATTATCCTATATATACCGTGGGATTGCACCTTGGCAGAGTCTATTTAGGGTTCTATGTGACTGGGAAGAGTGGCAAACTTGCCATTGGTATATATATATATATATATATATATATATAATTTTTTTGTTTTTGTTTGTTTTACCAGTGACCACTGGAAGAGTTTTAATGACAGAGAAAAAATCTTCACATTTTAAGAGTATTATATCATATAAATGTATTATTTTAGGAAGGATGACCACATCCAGCTAGCTTTCAATAATGTAAATACTGTGGTGATGATGGTTCAGTATCTTGCTTTACATCTAAAACTGGACTCACTATAAAATTGATTTTCTTCACATATGAAAATCTACAAGAATGTCCACAGAATCCTCCACATTTACATTATCTTAAGTGCCGTAGATTGATTCCAATACACAACTCTTAATTTAATGTGTATTCTGGATACAGAGCTGGTGTTGTTAGTTTCAAGGGCTTCTACAAATACACAGAGTTTCAGCCCAAAGCAAAATTTAATAACCTCTATTCGAAGGCTCTGCCCTAGGAGCCATATCTTTGCCTTGCTACTCAATCCTTGCCAACCTAGGGATGTCCTGAAACAATGAGAACATGCTTCATCACCAGGCATTCAATGCAATCCTGCCTACTCGCCCTACTAAATTATTGAAAACTATTGGAGATTGGTGGGACCACCTCCTTCCCTTTGTAGCCTGGAGGAACACTATACTCGTAATCTTTTTACTATGATTCTGCTGCTTCTCCACCAACTGTAGAGATCCGAGGCTAACAAACCCAGCATCAGGGTCTCCAGCCCTATAAGCCACCCTAGCAGCACCTCTGTTTTTGTATCTCTTTTTAAACACTAAGGTATTAAACCAAACTCCTTTACCAACATGATAATTTTCAGCCATTGTATGGCAATCAAACACCAAGAATAAATGCACATGTCCCTAATGATAAATGAGATATGCTTATCATAAGGAGCGGAATGTAGGACATTATTAGTCAAAATTCGCTTTTTCCCTTCATTTGCATCCCGGTGATATAATAAGGCCTAGTTGTAGGTTTATTAAGAAAATGCACATTGGCCACTGCATATTATCTGTTGCGTTATCTAGGTTATATTTCATGAAGAGATAAGAGATCATAAAAATACAAGGCTCATTAAGCTGGAAGTACAAACAGAAATAGAAACCGCTACTATACTGGTATATAGTTCTAGTTATTGACCATGGCGCTGACATTTCAGTGATATACAAAGTGTATCCATCTGTAACTTTCAAAATCACAGTGACATTTTCTTTAAACTCTCAACACCTAAAATGGAGAACTTTGGTAGGAGATAAATCCCATTAAAAAAAAATAAAATAACCACCCCCACTCAGCAAATAGCCTAACCAAGCATAATGTTTTATGACCGCACTAATATTCTTCAACAGACAGAGCGTTTCTATAAATTTTGTATTACATGGTGTGACTGGCAATGTGTGACCTCTAATCATGGGCGTAGGAACCCCAAAAAATCTGGGGGGGATAGCATTTTTACTCGCCGGGTATATTCTTATTCCGTAAACTATGAGTTGTTTATCCCATTGCACAGCGCTGCGAAATTTGCAGTAGCTATATAAATGATTAAATAATAACTTTAAAGGGTCACTACAGGGAAGGGATTTTACTTACCTGGATACAGCGCCGGGATCCTCCTGATGCTGCGCCCCCTATTTCGTCAAAATAACGAAATAGGAGGGTGCGAGCAGGGAGTAATAAAACGCTTCTATTCAGAAGCACCATTGTTCTCTGGTGCGCATGCACAGCTACTTCATAGGGCGGCATTCATGTCTCGACTAGGAAGCACCTCTAGTGGCCATCTGAATGTCCACTGGAGGAATTCCTCATCAGTAATGTAAATACTGCCTTTTTACGAAATGGCTGTGCTTACATTAAAAAGCCTGCAAAGACATGCTATAAACACTAGAACTACTACGTTTAGCTGTTGTGGTTCTGGTGACTATAGTGTCCCTTAAATATAGAGAGGAAAAAAGAATCATCACAAATGTAAGAAATAAAATGTCTGTATCATTATTCTAAAAAGTATTTAAAAAAAATAAAAAATATGCACATTCCTAGCTTAATTTTTAGCACGACATATGACACAAACATTTTGTACTTTGCAGATTACTTTTTATATTTTTTTATACATATACAGATTGTGTAATACTGCCCCTGACTTAGGGTGACCACATTTCCTAACTGCCATTCAGTGACACTTTCAGAAATGCATTCCATACATTTTACTACCCGTCTCTACCCCTTCCATTTATATTAGAACCCCTTTCCATGTAAATTAGAGATTAGTGCCACGAATAATATACTAGATTGCCTACTTACAACCAGATGAGGATGATGATGGGTTCTAGCTGCAATCTGGCTCCACTGGTCTGGTGTAGAACAGGCTCTCTGGAGGCTGTTTGTAACTGTGGTCACAAAAATCAATGTTCTGGGAGAACGGGAAGCAGCTCCATTTTTTTGGGGGCCCTTTACACAGCTCAAGGTCTGGGTCCCAGGGTCCACCTTCATGTTCCACCAATGGGTTTGTTCACAGGGGGTGGAGTGTGTAGGGGATGTCCTGATATGTGTGTAAGGAATGCATTGTGTGAATCTGTGTTTGTATGTGTAAGGGCTGCAAGCTGTGTTTCTGTGTATGTACGGGATGCAGTGTGTGTGTCTGTAAGGGGTGCATTGAGTGTGTGTACGGGGTGCATTTAGTGTGTGTAAGGAATGCATTGTGTGTTTCTGTGTGTGTAAGGTTTGCATGATTGTGTGATTGATTGTGTGTGTGTGTGTGATGGATGTCAATCTCTCTCCCTCCCTTGTCACTCTCTTTCTCCTCCTCCCTACCTCCCTTGTCACTCTCTTTCTCCCCCTCCCTTGTCACTCTTTCTCCCCATCCCTCCCTCCCTCCCTCCCTTGTCACTCTCTTTCTCCCCCTCCCTCCCTTGTCACTCTTCCCTCCCTTGTCACTCTTTCTCCCTCTCCCTCATCACTCTCTTTCTCCCCTTCCCTTGTCACTCTCTTTCTCCCCCTCCCTCCCTCCCTTGTCACTCTTTCTCCCCCTCTCTCCCTCCCTTGTCATTCTCTTTCTCCACCTCCCTCCCTCCCTTGTCACTCTTTCTCCCCTCCTCCATCGTCACTTTCTCCCCTCCCTCTCTCGTCCTCTCTCCTCCTCCTGGTCACTCTTTCTCCCCCTCCCTCCTTCCTCCCTCCTCCTCCCTCCTCGTCCTCTTTCTCCCCTCCCTTGTCCCTTTCTCCCCCTCCCTCCTTGTCACTTTTGCCCCCTCCCTCCCTCCTTGTCCTCTTTCTCCCCCTCCCTCCCTTGTCACTTTCTCCACCTTCCTCCCTACCTTGTCCTCTTTCTCCCCCTCCTCCTCTCTCCTTGTCACTTTCTCCCCCTCCCTTGTCCTCTTTCTCCCCTCCCTTCCTCCTTGTCACTCTTTCTCCCCCCCTCCCTCCCTCCTTGTCACTTTCTCCCCTCCTCCCTCACTTGTCCTTTCTCCTCCCTCCCTTGTCACTCTTTCTCCCCCTCTCTTCCTCCTTGTCCTCTTTCTCCCCCTCCCTCCTTTGTCCTCTTTCTCCACCTCCCTCCCTCCTTGTCACTCTTTCTCCCCTCCCCTCCCTCCCTCCCTCCTCCCTCCTTGTCCTCTTTTTTCCTCCTCCCTCCCTCCCTTGTCACTCTTTCCCCCCCTCCCCCCCTACCTCAGTTGTAGCGTGGCCGAGCCCAGTATAGTCCGCGGGTACAGGTAGCTTTTGTTTCCTCAGTGTGCACTTCCTGTTAGTCCGGCCGGGTACAGGAGACAGATGCTTCCTGTACCCACGGACCATGATACAGGGCTCGGCCACGCTACAGAGAGGGAGTGACAGGAGGGAGCGCAGAGCGCTTCTCTCCTTTCAGCACCTCTCCTTAGGCTGCACCTGGGCGGTGCGGTCCGCCCTCATGGACACACCGCCCGGGCAAAACTGCAGCCGCCTGAGGCTCTCTACAGAGCGCTCGGGCGGCTGCAGCATGGGGGGGGGCGGCGGAGCTGGGGGGGATTTCCCCATAACCTGTCCCCCCCGCATGATTTGCTGGAGGGGATGCGTCCCCCCCATTCCCCCCGGTTCCTACGCCCATGCCTCTAATCTCAGTGATGCAGTGGGGCATACGTAACCTAGTCTGGCCAACATCGGCGTTGTCATAGACATTCTTCTGGGCAGCAGCCAATATTTTGTAAATGCTGCCCATCATCCGGTCCCTTTTACTTAGACATAATGACAGCAAATGCAAATAGCATGAACGTAATTTCCATTATGTTTACCCTCTCCTTACTCAGAAACTAGGAGAGAGGGTGGGGAGAGATAATATATATAATATATATATATATATATATATATATAATTTGTTTTGTTTTTTTAAATCTATTTTTTTTTTCATAAAAATATATATAATATAACATACCTACCTAATATAAAAATGTAGGTTTGGTTACACGTAGGGGCACTGAATTTCTTAGCCTGTCTGTAACGGCACCCTCAGCATAAAAGGGTTAAACCGCCATTTAGTAGATCTTCCCTTCCAGAGACACAGGCACTGCTACTGCAGAACACCAATCCACCGAACAGGAAACCATATGAATGCTGTAAACAGCCGAATAGGAAAAACCATACGAATAGGTTTACACTCCTAGCAGTCGAACTGGAACAGCATACAATAAATCCCCCCAAGAACGAGACAAAGCTCCGTGTTGAGGGTCAAGCAGTGAACAGACAGAGCTGTGGGTTTATTGTTCTTATGTACACATTCTTACACATTAGTACCACCCACAGGGTTTTGGAACACAACCAATAAACACATACAATACACTCAGACACTCCCACACAAATTCCTCCCCTCTGCTTGTGATTCAATTACCTTACATAATGGGTAATGTAATTTAGCACAAGCAGAGAAATACAATTTTTCCACATTATTCATAACTTGAAAAGTATGCATCACATTCACATAAAACTTACATTTTCAGAATCAGCATACAAACATATGTCAAAATCATCCAAATTGGTCCAGTGGTTCAAAAGATAGATCGTAGTCCTTTGTGACCAAAGGAAGCATGGCTTTTCTGCCCAAAACCAGTTCCACAGAGTCTTCTATCCTGGAGATAATTGTGAAGTAATCCAATTATCTCCAAGGACAGAGGCAAAACTCCATTGAACACATGGCAGCAAAAGACAATAAAATACATAAAAACATTTAACTGTGCAGCCATTGCACAAAACAGGTACATTCAACAGATAGCTCAGATCTGAGCGCACATTCTTACTGAATGGCGCTCAGAGCACACACATACAGTTCAATTGCCATGGAGCCAAAGTCTTTCCCATAGTCTTTCGTTATACGAATGGGCTCCATGGCATAGCTATCTGGGGTATCACCGCTCAAACAGGGCAAGCACCAAATGACCCGGCTTTCATGTCTTTGCAGGGGAAAATCAAGCCTTTTAACATGGGGCTATAATCCAAAGGCAACAGGCGAGCAACCAGGCTTCTCCAATGCAATGTGGTGAGATTGGTCTCGTCACACTGTCATATACATCAAATTACCCGACTCTCCTGCGCTCTTCTTTACCTCTTGGAAGTTTGTCCTTTCTCGTTGTTCTCAAATCTTCTGTTTGTTTTTAATTCTCTTGATACCATTGGAAACTGTAATATATGGAGACTGCCACTGGCACAAAGTATCAGGCAAATGTCCCTCTTATCATAGTATCCAAAACAAGACAGCCAAGCACAACCGATCAAACATTTGGCGTAACCAAAAAAAAAAAATCATGATAGAAGTGAGCAGAGAAAAGCTTAAAATCAGTTGAGAACAAATGGGAAAATTATAATAGAAAATGCTATCGATACCAGAGAGGGGCAATGGCAATACCTATTCAGTGATTGGGATCATAAGGAATATAATCTGGGTTGCAAAAGTGATAAAAGGCATACCTTAAGCACCAAAACAACTTTAGCTTTGAAGGAACACTAAAGTGTCAGGAATACAAACGTATTCCTGACACCATAATGTTAAAATAGCTATTTTGGTGTCCCATCCTCCATGGAGAAATAAGATGTTTAAACTCACCTTTTCTCCCACGCAGCGCAGAGTGCCGCCAGACAGGGGAGCTGCAGATTGGGTTACATTGACCAGCTGAGACTCTCAGCCAATCAGTACATTTTTCAAGCCAGTTTTAAGAATTGAAGGTCACTGATTGGCTGAGAGCATCAGCTCACTGCTGTAAGTTAATCAGTGGTGCCTCTGCCTGGAGACATTCTGTGCTTCCTGAAATAGAGATTTAAAAGCAGGATACTACCTGGGGGATCTGTGGATCGGCACTGGAGTTACACTTTGGGGTTAAACCATTCAAAAATGGTTTAGCTCCTTAAGGTAAGAGTGTACCCAGGGCCTCCTGGCACCATAACAACTTAATTTAGTGGAAGTTGTTATGGTTAGCGGAGTGTCCCTTTAAGTAGTTGATCTATCATTGAATCATAAAAGGAAAGAGGAATAGAACATTTAAATTAAAGGGGATAATTAAAAATCCTCCATGCATTTACATTTTTGCAAAGACATTTGTATTCACTTTATTATGTTGCCAACATGTGATTCGCTGGGGTGAAACCCTGCAAAATCCTCTAATAATGTGAATTAGTGAGATCTGTAAAGGGTACCAGCAAGTGATGCAAACAGACATGCCAGGGTCGTGCATTTTTCTGCCGTCTGATCTTTGTAAAATTTTCTCTCTGGGGACTCCACTCTTGCATTAGCAAATGATTAATATCACAGGCAGAAAAGACCTGGCTTTTTAATTGGGATTCATTGCCGTTCACACACATTTCTTCTGCAGGTACATTCATTTTCTGTTTGTAATATTAATTCAGGATTTTTAATGCAGAACCATGAACAAGTTCTGACCTAGGGTGTCCAAGGTTATAACAGAAACCCTTAAAATCCTATCAAATTGTCAAAGTAAGAAAGAAAGCTCATTCACTGTATTACTCCTTCTTGAGCCAACAAAATCTAAATTATTTTAAGGAAACATTTTGTAACATACACAGATAGAAGCAAGTAGGATGTTTATTTCACTGCCCCATGTCCTAAAACGGACATGCTCGATTTGTTCAATTAAGATACAGAGCAGGATGGAAGTCTAACGAGGCTATTTACGAAAGTGAGAGCTCAAAGTGAATTCAAAGGGGATTTAAAAAGGTTGGAATAACAGCTGGCTAAGAGAATCTTTCCATTGTGTCTATTTTGACCCTATATTTGAAATTCACTTTGAATTTATTCTGAATTCTCAGTTTAGTGAATAACCTTGTAAGTCAATGGAAGTGCAAGAGAGGCTCCCTGGGTAAATTACTGACAAGAATAAGTCAAAGACAAGATCAGATGTTCCTCACGTGAAAGCACACAAAATATACAGAGATCAGTGAAGAGAGTGGGCCAGATTTCAAAGCCAAAACACAGAATACTGAAAAAAACGGAATACAAAGGAGAACAAAGACATTCTGGGAATCATATGGATATCTGACCTGCAGCAAATAATTAAAAAGCAGGTTTTATGTCTGTCATGGACGATACTTAAAATTACATTGGCGGTTCCATGGTTAAATTCTTTCCTGCCATGCAAGAGTTCCACGTCCAGGATCCACTTCCTCCTTTATCTGGTAAACTTATTTGATCAGGATCCTCATTAACCTCTTGTTTTGTAGTGTTTTATAGTATTTGTTATTAAATTACACCTTAAAAACATTGTAAATTGTTGCAGAATACGTTGGCGCTATATAAATACCAGTAATAATACCTGTGGTAGAGCTGTGTCACACTTGGGTAAACCAAATGGAGTCGATGACTGGAATGGACAATGTTTAACACT